ATTTTCTGAACTACAAGCTAATGCCTCTATTGATAAGTCTCACATTCCTTCCACCGTAGTCAATTCGAAATTTTCCTTCACCCTCAGGGGCGAATCTAAAGTTAAGTCAAGGGGGGCCCGGAGAAGTGTCCAAGGGCATGCTCCCCTGAGAGATTTTGAAAATTAGGTCTTCGGAAACATCATTGATTTCTAGCATTTCGAGCGAAAATTTGGCCAGAGTTCCGTATAACCCCACACATTAATTATGCATAGAGTGTCGCAAAGAAACTTTACATTTAGTCATTATTAAATGAATGCATAATTAATGTATGGGGTTATATGGAAGTCTTTCCGAAAATTTAGTGGGGTTCGACCGGAGAACCCCTGGATCCGCTCCAGAGCATTTGCAGAATATTTCCGAAAGCGGCAGTTTCATCTGCCTTTCTTTTCTCAATCTTTGCAAGGTTTTTGTGAAATCTTTATTGATTCTGGTAAAGATAATAAACAGTACAAATGCGAATTTCCCACTCGATTGAGCATAGCTACATCATTGCACACTTGGGTAAAAATTAATTTATCTGTGTACATCTTTATTTTAAGATAAAATTCTTACCAGATTGAGTAAGTAACGGTAACTTTGCCACCATCTATCCGTCATCTTGATTTCGTGAACCAGTTCCAACGTTGGATGGCTTCCCTTTTTGGCTCATTTTGTAAGATCTTGGGTTTGCAAAAGGCACACAAAGCTGAACCATAGCTTTAACAAACACACTTTATGCGTGTGCCTACAACCTTCCTCAACAATTAGACTGGGGAGAGTAGACACGTAGGCATTCACGCTGCGCATGCGTTCAATTAAAAAAAATCCAAAATGGCGGCCGGCATACGAGCGAGACAGATAGGTAATACTGAGTCTCATTTGGTTCTTTTTGTCGTTGACAGATCATTAAGCTGAAAATATTACTAACCAGCTGCGATATCTATAATCTCAATTTTGACGTTTTAATTGAAAAATGTCAGTTTTTCCGTTGAGAAGAAATCTTCTATAAACGACCCTCTTTCTGTCCTAGTAACAGAAAGACATTCCTTCCTCTTTACTGTCAAGTTTTTCTTTATGAATAAACAATGCATACATATTTGTGCGTTTAATTTCAGAATCCTTGAAGCGGATGCTTAACCTGAATCAGCCGATAACGAAATCAACTGCTGTCGAACCCGTCTGGAAGGTATCAATTAAACGCATTAAATGACCCTTCTACCGTGGGGGCTCCAATAAGCCAGCGAGGAAGTTACCGTTTCCTTTGGCTTCCCGTCGGGGGTTTAGAGAGGGAGGCGTATCAGAAAGGGGCTTTCTAGAGTGGGAGGGGATGCTAAGAATCATTTTGAGCCAATTTTGTACTAAAGTATTATCTAGCCTAAAGAATGACAGTAACTTAAAACTACAAAGTTTCTATTCTTCTCATGTGGGAATGAGGGCTTGAAGGTTGATATTAGGCTTTATCAACTTTA